ATAGCTATAGTTAGTAGTGAGTGTGTGTGTGTGCTCGAGTGTTAGAGTGATGCGTGTGGGATATCCAGGGTGATCCAGTGTATGTGAACAGTGAGATGTTTGTGCGCTGAGGTCGCCATAGCCAATTGCGAGTGAACTCGTATCTGAAAACCATATCTCTGAGTTTTGAGTGGGCGCATGTCGCCAGTGTGCTGCGTTACTGTTTACATGTGTGAAAAGTGTGTTTGAAAACGAGTCTGATTGCAATAACTTATAACCACCATTAATGTAATGATTATGACAAGGATCATTACAGCAGTGTCAAACAACCTTTACGATACGTGTGATGATAAAAACAATAAACTCTTTTTTTTTTTTTCTTTTTTTTTTTTGGTGATGATAGAAACAAGAAACTCAGTTGCTAAACTTGTCATTTGTTTTCCTTGGCTCACCTCCTCGGTCATAGCCATGCATGTACAGGAAGGGGGACACATCCTCATGTCCAGGGACAGGTCCAGATATTAGCACGCCACAGTCCTGCATTCTGCCAAGGCAGCCAATTTAACAGTGACGGACAGAGATCATGCAGAGAAGGAGAGGCGTTAAGCTGCCGACTTTCGATACAAAGAAAACCAACACCCCATGAGTCTGGGACAACTTGTGGTTATGCTGCACACATCCTCACGTTTTTTTTTTTTTTTTTTTCCCCCCCCCACATATACTATGATTGAACGAGTGAGGTGAAGGTAAAGGGTACTGACTCTACTGAGAGAAAATAAATATTCACTTCAGGTCCTTCAGGATCGAGCTAATCTCATGTGGACCCTCGGCTCGGGTTCTGAAATGACAGGAAGGAAAGTATATCGGGTCCCATTCTTGTTCGCAGATGCTATCATAAAAAAAATCAAACGTTTGGAGGCCGTCAAGGTCGACTCTCCCAGCAACGATGGCGATTTGCACCTCATTCCTATTTACAATAAGACAATTAGACAAAACAAAAAGTTCATGGCGCAGAATGCATTTATCGTCCTCTTTCAAAAGCAACTATACCAATCCATGTCTTTGCTAAACCCAAGGACTGCAACTGGTCAGAGAGTATACATTAGTCTGCGGGTGACGAGCTAACCACGCCGGCATACCCAAAAGAACGAAAAGTAAAAAAGGGAAAAAAAAATGTATATTGTAATAATTGTATACCAATCCATGCACAAAACGAATCAAATACTCGGAATGAAAAGAATGTGTTCTAAGAATTAGGAATTAATCCGGTACACGGCGAACAGAGATGTACAAAAGACAGTTCGTATCGTGAAGCATCAGGAATCGAATTCAGATACAAACGGAGTCAATATACATTGCAATACGACTCTCACGTCTCGATGCAATGGCCACCAAACATGCAACACACCCATGCTCGTCTGTGAACGCACATTAGCACTATCACACACACAGTCAATGTTTCCCTGCCAGAGCATTACGTGACGGTGTCGGGCGGCTGCCTACCAGCCGGGTCTTTTTTTTTCGAATTTTGTGCTTGTTTGTGTGTAGGTGGCTGATTGTTTTCGCTTGTTTCGGGGTTTGTCTACTTAAGCTTGGGGGGTTTCGGTTGAATTTGGATTTGTGAGGCGTATGCGGGGGGGTTCGCGTGAGGTATGGGGGAATGGTGTAGGGACGGCGAGAAGAGGGGGCTTGGGGATACCTAATTTCCTATCCATTGGGGTTTGGAGCGAAGCAGCGATGGTGGGTGACGACGTGTGAGGGTGAGGGTCGAATAACGACGGTGGAAGGATCCATCAGCGGGCATCGGCAACGACTACTTCTACCACAAGTCTCTGCTATAGTTATTGGGTACCAGCTTTTGCGACTCGGGCCTTCTGGATGGTCGACAGGGCCATACCACACGACATGCTACCGGCGCGGTTTTTTGGAGGTTTGGACGAGGCATCGGCGGTTGGTCGTATAGTGTTGGCGAGCGGCTACGCAGGAAGGTTGACACAGGTGCCACCACTGTTTCTTGTTGCTTGGTTTTGCCTGGGGCAGATGAGTTCCGGAGAGTTGGGGGTCGGAAGGCCCCGTTTTTTTTCCCCCTCTTGGCGAAGGTAACAGAAGGGGGGACCACAGAGGCCGCAAGCAGGAGCGTGCGGACAGCAAAAATTCGAGTGCCTGAGGATCTGACCCGAAGACCGACGGATGAGGGACAGATGCCGCGCGGTGGCCCGGAGAATCCGTGGGGAAGGGGGGGAAGTTAAGATAGAAGAATGACTGAAGGTAGCAATGGGATCACCTTGCGGTATCAATGTAGTCTGGGGTCTGCTCGGTTGCCTGAAGCAGCCCAATGCTGCCTGACGCAGCTTCTGCATCTGGGCCCAATGTACGGACAGATCCACAGAAGAAAAGTTTTTGTTTGAGATTGTTAACTGTCAAATGCAGCCCAAGAACTTGCTGCCTGATGCAGTTTATGCATCTGGACACCATGTGCGGGCAGGTCCATTGAAGAATTTTTTTTTTAAAGATTTGTTAGCTGTCAAATGCAGCCCAAGAACTTGCTGCCTGACGCAGCTTCTGCATCTGGGCCCGATGTACGGACAGATCCACAGAAGAAAAGTTTTTGTTTGAGATTGTTAACTGTCAAATGCAGCCCAAGAACTTGCTGCCTGACGCAGCTTATGCGTCTGGACCGAGTGTACAAGCAGATCCAACGAAGAATAAGTTTTGGGATTGTTAACTGTCAAATGTAGCCCAAGAACTCGCTGCCTGACGCAGCTTACGCATCTGGACCCAACGGGCGGGCAGATCCACTAAAGAAGAGTTCTTCTTTTTAAGATTGTTAACTGTCAAGCTCGCCGCCTGAAGCAGCCCAAGGACTTGCTGCCTGATGCAGCTTATGCATCTGGACCCCATGTGCCGGCAGATCCACTGAAGAATTTTTTTTTTTGAGATTCTTAACTGTCAAGTACAGCCCAAGAACTTGCTGCCTGACGCAGCTTATGCATCTGGACCCAACGCGCGGGCAGATCCACTAAAGAAGAGTTCTTTTTTTTAAGATTGTTAACTGTCAAGCTCGCCGCCTGCAGCAGCCCAAGAACTTGGTGCCTGATGCAGCTTATGCATCTGGACCCCATGTGCCGGCAGATCCACTGAAGAATTTTTTTTTTTTGAGATTGTCAACTGTCAAGTACAGCCCAAGAACTTGCTGCCTGACGCAGCTTATGCATCTGGACACCATGTGCGGGCAG